TACTGCGAAGCTTAATAGACTTAATATACACTCGTATGACGTAGTCATCCTTACTGAGACCTGGTTAGTGCATAGTGTATCCGACACGGAGCTATTCGACAGTAGGTATGTGGTCTGGAGGCGGGACCGGGACTATGCCCTAACGGGGCAGGGTCGCGGCGATGGTGTGTTGGTGGCTACGCGTAAAGAATTATCTGTTGTTACACAACAGCAATTCCAGTCCTCCGCTGAGGATTTGTGGATAACATTAACGGTTAAATGTAGAAATACCAGAAAAGTTAATAGAATTCACCTATGTGTATTATATTTGTGTAATCAAAACCGTGGCAACACCTTCTCTCTGCAACTATCAAATTTTTTAACTTAATTAAGTGACATTATTTTAGCTCACCCGTTCGACACTTTTCTTATTATTGGTGATTTTAATCTTAGTGGTATAGCTTGGCTCCCCGATGCCATGGGTTCTTTTTCCCCTAACAACTATCGTACTCCGGATGAACAACTATTAATCGACGAACTCAATACGTGTCACCTCCGACAATATAATGGTATTATTAATTCGTACGGAAGAATTCTAGACTTAGTATTGTCGAATGAAGAAGTAATAGTTAGTGAATGTGACGACCCCTTGGTACGTTCAGAAGCTACTCTCAAAACTGGATCCCTCCAAATCGGCTGGCCCTGATCTTCTGTCCGCACCGATCTTAATTAACTGTGCCGAGGCATTAGCTTTACCAATTTGTCTCCTCTTTCAAAAATCTCTCCTCGAGTGCTCAGTGCCTGGGATTTGGAAATCAGCTTTCATCACACCAGTTCATAAAAAGGGGTCCAAGGTTGACGTCTTAAATTACAGGCCGATCTCTAAACTCTGTATAATTTCAAAGGTATTTGAAAAAATAGTGTACGACCAAATCTATGCTTCACTTAAGACCGCATTTAGTGATTATCAACACGGCTTTCTGAGGGGACGATCGACAGTATCGAATTTGGTCGTTCTTAATGACTATATTACCGAGGCAATGGACAACGGGAAACAGATCGATGTCATATATACAGATTACAGCAAATGTTTTGATCGTATAAACCACGGTATCCTTTTATCGAAATTACAAAAAATCGGCATTAGAGGTGATTTACTCAGGTGGTTAACCTCATATATCTCAAATCGTACTACAGGCTGTGGTGGTCAGCAACTACATGTCCAGTTGGGTGCCAATACCCAGTGGTGTGCCCCAAGGGTCACTACTGGGCCCTTTATTATTTTTAATCTTCGTAAATGACATAAACTCGTGCCTCCACTCATCTCGTCTTCTTTGCTTCGCTGACGACATGAAAATTTTCACTACAATTTCTTCAAAAGAAGATGCTGATGCTCTCCAGGCTGATCTGTTGCGCTTGGAATATTACTGCTCTTGCAACCAACTTGATCTTAATCCCTCTAAATGTTTTGCGGTCACCTTTTCCCGTAAACAAGCCATTCATTTGTCCACATATATACTCAAAGGGACTTCACTTGAACGCAAAACCAGTATTAAAGATCTCGGTGTAACGCATGACATGAAGCTATTATTTGACTCTCATATTGATAATATCGCAACCAAAGACTGTCAGGCCCTCGGATTTGTGATGCGTAGCTCAGTTGGCTTCACTAAGGCTAAAACACTAAAGATTTTGTACTGCACTTTTGTCCGTAGCCACTTAGAATATGCGTCACAGGTTTGGAACCCCAGATATCAGGTGTACATATCTCGACTGGACAGCATTCAGAGGAAGTTTGTGAAATTTATCTGCTTTCGCATGAAAGACTCTTATAATTCCTCAGAATACCTACCCCTCTGCAGAAAACACCACCTTCTTCCTTTGGAACTGAGGCGCGAGATAGCCGACGTCACATATTTGCAAAAGATTGCCACAGGTGAAATTGACTGCCCACACCTACTAGCCAAAATATCTCTGAGGGCGCCTCTAAGGCCCATGAGATTTAATCCACTTATTTTTCTTCCGAAGGCGACCACTAACTATAGACAGAATAGCTTTATATGGCGTGCAGGCGACAAATTTAACAGACTGAGTAAGGAACTAGATATTGATTTATTCTATACTAGCATACCAGCGCTTAGGCGGCTACTGAGCGAGCGTTTTTTCAAGCCTATCCAGTAGTTTTTTTTTCAACCGACTTCAAAAAAAGGAGGAGGTTCTCAATTCGACCCGTATGTTTTTTTTTTCTATGTTTGTTACTCGATAACTCCGCCAATTATGAACCGATTTGAACAAATCTTTTTTCAGCGTATAGGTAATACCTCAAGGGTGGTCCCATTTAAATTTAATGATAAAAAAAAACAACCCCCAAGGGTGGAAAATTGGGGATGAACTTTTTTATACGCAATATCTCCGCCGATTATAAACCAATTTGAACGATTATTTTTTTGTTGAATAGGTATTATCAAAAGGGTGGTTTCATGCGAATTTGAAGAAAATATTTCACCACCAAGGGTGGAAAATTGGGGATGAACTTTTTTATACGCAATATCTCCGCCGATTATGAACCAATTTGAACGATTATTTTTTTGTTGAATGGGTCATTCCACAAAAATATGTCAACTCTTAGTCCGCGCCACATTTCACATTAAATATTTGTTAATATTTTATTCCAAAATTNAAATAAATAAATAAATAAATAAATAAATTTTCTATACGTACCTATATTCGAAGGCGTAAATATTGCTATCTTGAATTTCAGGGGGGTAATTTTTGCTAGCTAACTTTTAAATAGATAAAATTCAGGCCGCGGCCGTGTGACAAATATTACTACATTTGATTTTAAGCAGCTGCGTTTCTTATTGATTTTCGGACAATTGAAAGCTAGGTGTTAAGTCACTTATAGCACTAAATTGCAAAACTAACAGTTCGTGTGTAAAGATTTTTAAATTACGCGACAAATAATAACTATCGATATCGAAACACGTCAGACAGGTACAACACTGATCTCTTCCGACTTCCTCCGATGTCACCACACGTGCACAGATACAAAATGGCGGCACTTGGCAGGTCCATAGAAAATTAATAATTCGTTTCGTGTTCTAATAATTTTATCTGTGGGAGTGTGGAAATCTGTAACCATGAGCGGTGAATCCGAGAGCCCGGTATATTGTTCTTTCGTGGGCATCCAGTACATAGTCTGTGATTGTGGGGATGCCTTTGAAAATGAGGAGTCTCACAGGCACCATTTGCAAGTGAAGCACCCTGAAACCTTCAAGAAACACTTCGTCAGACGGCTCAAAAAAGTCCCGCCACCTACTATAACTGAGTACAAATGCGGCGAGGTAAGTTTTATATTGTTTGTTATTTGTTTTGGTTAGCCAACATTTGGGTCTTACTACACAGTTGGCTCACTACACTATTGCTTTTCTGAACCAAAGATCTGTAGGACTATTTTGAAATTATGACAAACTTTCTAAAACTTACGAGCAAAATTATAGTAATTAAAAAATGTTTAAAGTTAAGTGATATGTATTGTATTCCAATATCCAATTTAATACCATGGTTTTATACCATTTTGGTACAGGTACCAAAACTCAATATTTTTATGTCATTTTTATTGTTATTGTTTGTAAATCCAATATTTTATGCCATCTTTAATGTTATTGTACTCTAAAGACATATCTTGTACGTACCGAATAATAATGTTTCTTCATTTTCTTCTTTCCAGTGCGGAAACATATACCCGACGGAGGAAGAATGTGTGGCCCACCAAGAAGCCGACCACATCCCCTTCATGGAGGAAGAGGTGGTGTATTTAGACGAAGACCACGAAGAAAATTTTGTTGTTCCAGAAATGATCGAATCTTCCACGTCTATGGAAAGGTGACTATTGTTTTAAGAAACATTGATATTTATTTCTTTTTACTTTTGTGGCTTAGGTACAGTCAGCATCAAATAGTGCGTGGCAGCCAAAGCAGCCAATAAGTTTGCAACATGTTACAAATGATATTTTTTTTTATTAGAATAGTAGTAACTTTTATCACACAAATTACTAATACTCCCGTTAGCCCCTCGAACTAATCTAAATATGCTTGTATCACAAGTGAGCTCACCACAATAGACGAGCGGCGGCGGGGACCGAACCCGCGTTCCCCGGATCACGAGTCGGCCAGTCCGACCCCTTCACCGTTTGGCTATCGTGGCTATTAATTTTTACTTTAGAGGGTTAGGTTAGGTGAGGTAATTAATTACGTAGGGTAATTAGTTTATGGTGACAACCTTTTAGCCACTTTTGAACTATTTGATGCTAACTGTACACTTGAGAGCATAAAAACTAGCATCTTGTGTTGTAATAACTGCAAAAAATATATAGTTTTGTGTTGTCAACTGTACCAGCAAAGGTTTTCTCGATCGCCCGTATTCACAAACATTACTATGAGGTCTCACAGTGCGCGTGAACGCACAGGGTGACACACGAACCAATCACAGAGCTATTCAATACTGGGTTCGATTTGTTGCTTCACTTACGCAAGCATCGTTTGTGAATACGGGCGATAAACATGTTTTTTGGTGCTAAAATTTATTAATCGCCTCTTTTGATATCCTAACAATACAGTTTCTGTTTCCACAGCGTCGGCACCTTATCCCTAAAGAACCATTTACCAGTTCGAGTGCAGAGCCTGCCGTCGAAATCCGCTATATCCCAGGACGGTACGGTCCCAGACACAGTGCCTTCGGTGAGGAAGCCAGCGCCACCGCCGAGACAGAGGAAACGGCCAGTGTACAGGCATAAGAATATCGTTTGCGAGACATGCGGGAAAAAATATGCTGTGAGTTATTATTGTTATAATATTTTATTTAAGATCATATTACAATAACATCAAGATTGGACATTACAGTATTCCTAAAACTTTGAATCAATTATTATCTCTTGTACTATCGATAGTTCTAACAATAATAAGCTCAAGAGAGATCTGTAGTATAGCCTGACCAGGAACATAAAAACCCTGGCATAGAGGCGCGTCAGTTGCATTTGATAGTGCAACACTGAGTACAGTCGTACCTGTGTTAAATTAATAGGCTAACTTTATGTATCAGGATTCAGGATTACGGGCTAATTTGATATTTATTTTATTTATTTATTATTCATTATTGAGCAATTACATATTTGATCCAAATAGCGTCCTAAATCCTTATATTTATATTTATCCTGATATTTTCATAAATTAACGAAAAAATATTATTATAGGTAACCTGGTTTAAATAAATTAAATGAAACCATCAATCGAGCTAGTAGGATTTATTTTATAATTCATCAATAATCAAATTCAGAACTTGAATATTCAACTGCAATGTTTGCTCATGAAAGCTTCAAACTCGGTACTTCTTTCCCAATTCCATAAAATTCAACACTTAGAAAGTGACAAAAATTTTTAAAATAGGTAGTTGAAACAAACCACAGTAATTTTCATAGTGGACTGTACTATGCTATAAACATGTCAGTCAATTTGACAACCTTTGTCGGAAACATTATTCAATGAAAATATTGTCCTAACCCTTAGTATTTCTCTTCGAAAAATACTTTAACACATTGTGAACCACTTTTCTTTCACGACTATAAAAAGATTTTAGCAATTTAATTCACAAAATCAATTGCGCACATTTAAAATAAAGTTTGTTTACACTTTGACAGCAATAGACTGACATGCAAGGTGACATCTCAATGAAGTTTTCAGTTACTGTTGCCATAAAAGAAATTAGTACCATTAGTTTTCCGCAACATGGCGAGGGTTTTTATGTTCCTGGTCGGGCTATAAAAGAGCTAATCCGTTGTCCTAGATGAACGACAAAGACAATGCAACTCGAAAATGGCAAGTAGTCGTTGTTTACAATAGTGGCGTACCTATGTACACGACATTTCGCGTGACAATGAGTGCGTTTGATGGAAAAAGCGCTTGTAAGCAAAATGGCACTAAGCGGTATGTGCTGTCACTGCTAAAAAATTAATAAAACACGTCACTATTGAAGTTAGCAAACGTGTCCGCGCCGATATGTTGTCCCTAAGTAGTGATAGGGCAAGCTAAATTGGGATGTGTATAATTTATGTGCCCTAATGAGGGCCCACATACTAATAAATAATTTGAATTGTTTTTTTTTTTCAGTCCAACGCAGCTCTGAGGTATCACCAAAGAGTGCACACGGGCGTTCGTCCATACCAATGCACGTACTGTCCGAAGAGTTTCACCATGTCACTGTTTTTGCAGGTAAATAATGGTTAAGTTTGATCCCAAAGTTTAAGTGCATGAGGTATAGTTCCAAAATACTGAACTGTCCTATCCATGACATTGACAGCGGGGCGCCACCGTCAATACCGGATCGCTGGTTCCGATTTGTGCCATGTTGGAAACCATATAGTTGAACGATGGTAGCGCCCCCCTGTCATTGAGTTTGGTGGGACAGTTCAGCGTGGGTCATCTATACCACCTAAGTATCGATACCTACTCATTTCGATAATACTCAAATCTTTTTTCGATACTACTTAAATAAGTACTCCTAAAGTAACGATACTTACTGATATCGATACTTTTTGGAACTTTTATTTTGTTTTATTATTTTGAGGGTGCTATCAATGAACGTTGAAGGACAATAATTTAAACAAAATTGAGAAGAAAACATCTCTTTCATCTCAATCAGCTTTCTGCTCGGGCTCGGCTGAAGTCGGACGAATTCGGCTGGCCCAGCGCGCGACAACGCGTCACTCACGCCGCCACGCGACGAATACCGGTAACTCGGTAACCGATTAAAGCTGATTAGCTGACTGTTTTTGCTCTCTCAGTTCTGTATGATGCGTTCTCGGTTTTTTTTTATTGTTTTCGATTGTTTTGCTGATTTGATTCGATACCAAGTATTTTTGTTTCGATACCGATTATGTATCGCAAATTGATTCGATACAATAAATACTTGGTATCGAGTACCTACTCTTATTTATTAGTATCGGAATATCTATCACGTATATAAATCCTCTGTCACGTCATAAGATGTCAATGTCACTTCTCCCGTGCCGTTCCCATATCTCAGGCAGTGACTGAGGTAAGCGCCCAGACCTATAATTACTTTTTTGCATGCCGTGGCAATCCGTTATTAAGACAGCACTTAGGCTGGGTTGTACCATCTTACTTTAACTTTAACAAACGCCAAAAATCTGTCAAACTCCATAAAAAATAATCGGTTATCGTTATAGTCACCGTCAAAGTTAGGTGGTGCAACTCAGCCTTTTATTTAAGTTCAAATACGCTGTAAATATTGTTTTTTAGTGTATGCCTTGTTAAAGCCTGGTCCGTGAGCACGTAGAATGGGGATGTTGCCTGGGTCAAAAAGCAAGAGTTTTAATTAGTCCGTCAGTTAACTTATCAAAAAGTGTGTGTAGTGTATACACGTATTTTTCACTTTTTCAAACTAATGAAAATTTAAAGAGATAAAGCGCCCCAAAGTTCATAAGAAGAGGCCCGTGACGTCAACGCTTGCTTAAGGCTTGGTATTTCTTCTAAAGTAGGTATTTCGCGCTGTCAAAATCTGCGCGCGCAATTCTTCGCCGAAAACAACGCGTCAAAGAGCTCCCGCCACAATTTCCAGCTACACAGTATAGAAATACGCAGTTGGTTAGGTTAGGTTGACTTCCTTCCCTTCAAGCGTCACACTCACAACACTTTCTAATAGAAATCATATCCAAGTGATACAAATTAAAACACCTTTCAGACTTTTTGGGAATATATTCTAAAATCGAATAAATAAATAGGCTAGTTGCCTCATGTCACCATTTATCATAATAACTTTTAATTCAAATATTATTCTGTACAAGGGTCCGAAATATATAAACTTCAATAAATATAAATAAGGGATTGCTGTAAAAATTCAACTGAAACCCGTTAATTTTTTACTTTTTTTTCTCTTGACTGAAAACACCGTCCGCCATGTTTCTACGTCACCAATATTGTAAACAACAAAACGTCAAACACTAGTTTCAGGTTATTCGTGGTCTTTCATATAAACGCCTTGTTTTCACATAAAAATATTGTACAGTTCGCATTTATTGAAAATTATCATGGATCCTGAGTTTGTGAAAGCAGAAAGCACAAATCTGCTCAAAATCGACACATTGATGGTTGCAAAATTGTTTGCTTTAAATCCTGATTTCTGCTCAGCTAAGCTAAGGAATGTTAAGTTAACTAAGTAAGTACAGTTCATTTACAACCCATTTTTTTAATTTAGACCACATCATTAACTGAAAATAAGGAAATAAGTACTATAATACAGGGTGTTTGGCGCATCGTGTGCCAAAATGATTTGGCGTATAGAAGGGGCCATTTCCTATATTTTCAGCCCCCAAAACACGTTCCATGCCAGGCGGCTACTTTTATATTAATTTTTTTAATAATTTCACCAAAATACCCAAATCGCATCATTTAATTTCGATTTTAAAAAAAACTACTAGGCGTAGCCTCAAAGTAAATATTTTGTTTTGACGTGCATTGATGTAGGGTTGCATCAAATCTAAATTTACTGGCAAATATCATCAATTTTTTTTTAAATTCAGCTTTAAAGTTTTCCGAAAAGTTAAAAATGGACTGAACATTTAAGTTTACATGGCTATAATTTTTTTTTTTAAAGAGATAGCGATCTTCGGATTTTATCAAAACTTCTGTAGTCTATCCCCATTCAAACGGTATACTAATCTTGTTTAAATAATAACAACAACTTCACAAATTCCTTAAATTAGTGCATTGACTCTACTCGGACTGATTTGCGAAATTTGTGTTTATAGCCCCTTTTTGTGTGAATAGCACGTTAAATACCTACAGGTAAAAAATATTTATCTTATGCAATGTAAAAAACCTTTTCTCTATCGTTTTTCAATGTAGATTTCTTGAAATTAAAGACGAAAATAATTATTTATATAAAAGAAAGTCGTGTTAGTTACTCCACTTATAACTCAAGAACGGCTGAACCGATTTAGCTGAAAATTGTCAGGGAGGTAGTTTAGAGCCAGGAGAAGGACATAGGATACTTTTTATCCCGTTATTTATTGCCATTAAGGCGGAACAAAGTTCGCCGGGTCAGCTAGTTAGAAGAAAAAAACTAGTTAACAAAGTAGAATAATTTTGATTTATTCTTTCAGGTCCACACAGGGATCAAGCCTTACGAGTGCCCTAAATGCGGCAAGTGCTTCACCCAATCCAATTCCATGAAGCTTCACTTCCACACAGTCCATCTGAAGATGCCAGCTCCATACAAGTCGAAACGAAGGCAAATGGATGCAGAGGGCAGACCGAAGAAACCCAGGAGAGAGGAACCACCTGATAATATGGAGGTAGGTGCTATAACACATTTTTGATGATTTCCAAGTAATTTTCACAAATCAATTCAAATCATAACACTTTGTATGAATTTAGACTGATTTTTCGCTACTAAAAGTGGCCTAACGCCCTTGGTCAAAACCACTTTTGACTGGACAAATCAGTCAAATCAAAAGTGATGACTAAGGGCATCGGTCAAAACCATATAAAATAAAATGTTTTTGCAATGTATGTAATGTAACTGCAAAAATCAGTCAAAAGTGGTTTTGACTGGTTATGACTTTGACTGCAACATATACATATTTTTTTTTAAATAAAACACTAAAAAAACATTTTATAACTTAATTTATCTTTAGACAACTTAGTTTTTTGTTTAGAGTCCTGAGAAGAGCGGAGTCTGAGAGACTCCAGGTAGGTGGTTATGTGACTGAAACAGGTTAAGGGTTAATATAAATATAAATGTTTTTTTGCAGAAGTTGGCGGAACTAATTAGACAAGATCCGGCGCTTCAGGACGTGTATTACGAGATCAAAACCCCGGCGGGACGTAAAATTACGCTCGGCTCGTCGTTCATCAAGAAAGAACCGGTAGAGGTGCGTATTATCCTACTAATATTATAAAGGTGAAAGTTTGGATGTCTGGATGTTTGTTAGTCTTTCACTCAAAAACTACTGAACGGTTTTAACTTTACAGTATTATTGTTTATATCCATATTAACATAATAGGCTATAATTTATGACGATATGTGACAAATAAATGTCAATAAATAAATAAGACGTGTCTAAAAAGCGCTATATATCGCCATTGATTAAAATCTACAACGCTGGACAAACTACTGTTTTTGACGTTCGTAAATATTCATGCGGGGGAAGCCGTGAAACGCCATCTATTAACATGATATCTAACGGGGGTAAAACGAGGTCCACGCGTACCAGGTCGCGGGCGACCGCTATAAATCTATATTTATTTATAACGAATAAAGCTGAAGAGTTTGTTTGTTTGAACGTGCTAATCTCAGTAATGATAGCCTATTTATCGAGGAAGGCTATAATAACATCACCCTACAGCCAACACGGGTGGAGCAGTAAACTAAAATGTTGCAAAAACGGGAAATATTATGTAAATTTTCACGCGTACGTAGTCGCGGGCACAGCTAGTAAAACAATATACAGGGTGCCCTAAAATTATCACGTCACACTGACACCGGGGGTAGATGGGCCTTAGAGACCCCGCAGACTTTTTGTCGGCCGATAGTTTAGTGGGGCTGTTAATCAGTTTGCGCGCACATTACACCGATTTGGTATCGGCCGATTCATACAAATTAGGAGCCGACCAAACTAACGGCCGACTGTAAAAGACAGTGGTCTGTGGGGTTTCTAAGACGTTTATTAAGTCCATTTTTAAAAAATAAATAAAATTGGTCATATTTCAAAACTCATCAACCCGTATTATTAAACAAAATAAAGTATTTAAGTATGTTTATATCCGCTGTCTTGTGCCCATAATAGGAAAAGCTTTGCTTAGTTTGGGACTAGAGGCGCAGTGTGAAATGTCCAAGGATTTTTATTTTTTTTTTCTTTTTTGACAGCCTGCGGAGATGGTCCCAGCAACGCTGACAATACTGCCAGAAAACGCAATACCGTTACAAATAAACGAGGGCGAAGTAATAAACTGCGAGGTCAAAACTGAGAACGAAGATGAAGAGCTTACGTATGAAATTGTGTACGACTAAAGTATTCGTTCGTTCGTTCGTTCGTTTCAGCCGAAAGACGTCCACTGCTGGACAAAGGTCTCCCCCAAGGATTTCCACAAAGACCGGTTCTGCGCCGCCCGCATCCAGGCACCTCCCGCGACCTTCACCAGATCGTCGGTCCACCTAGTGGGAGGCCTGCCCACGCTACGTCTTCCGGCTCGTGGTCGCCACCCAAGAACTTTCCTGCCCCAGCGGCCATCAGCTCTACGAGCTATGTGCCCCGCCCACTGCCACTTGATTTTAGCGATCTGCGGGCTATGTCAGTCACTCTGGTTCTCCTACGGATCTCCTCATTTCTGATTCGATCACGCAGGGAAACTCCGAGCATAGCCCGCTCCATCGCCCTTTGGGTGACCTTGAGCCTTCTTATGAGGCCCATAGTAAGCGACCACGTACTTCTACACCACGACACGACTAAAGTATTATTACAGATCAAATGCTTAGGTCAGTCAGTGACTGGAGTATGGGAGCGGCATGGCAACCGCTCCCATATAACCCAGCGTATTATAGATTAGAGATGGGTTATACTAGGTAAATTTGATACTAGGTGCACCTATTCCAAGTATTTATTAATACTTGATCCAAATACCTATTCCACCTAGTACGTAGTAATTTACCATACTTGACGCGACTAGTGCGGACTAATCCACGTATTATGACTTTAAAATACAATTTTCTTTGAAAAGATACAACCGTAGTATTAATAATGCAATTTGAAATTGAATAATAATGTTTTTGCTGGCTGTTGATTTATTGATATCCTCCCTTCATACTTCAACAGGCTATTCCTATCTCACACCTGCCTGCGCTCAAATTTGTTTGTCAGACAGAGACGGAGTGAATCTCTACGTTCGCACATAAGCTTAGCGAGAAATACGCGGTGCGCGTAATACACGACTACGGATTATGCAATAATAACCTCTATTACTTTGATGGTAGGGTCGGAAATCGTGTAATTTAAAAAATACTAGGTGGATCAAGTATTTTAAAAATTGGAATAGGTGCCACTTAGTACTGTAAAATACCTAGTGTGTGGATCTGTTCTAGTAAATACGTCTCATCTCTATTATAGATCGTGTCATCCACTCGGCCGCGCCCCACAATGTTTGGTCCATAAAGTTAATATTCCTTCGGAATAGAGCAACAATCACGAGATGTCAAACAAACCAATATTGGGATGTCATTTGTGTGTGTAAAAGTAAATATGTGTGCATGTCAGTGATGCATGTTATGATATTTTTCACATGAATAACATCGATGTCGATAATATTAATTCACACTCAGCAGTAATAATTTGAATTGGATTTTATATGGGAGAGTGGTCTAAGAATATTTAAGAAAAACTCAGATGATAAAAATAATTCAACTTATTTATTTACACAAACATAGTAGGTCACGGCTTCTAGCGGGTGCCTAACCTAGATTAAGACTAGCTCTGTTGGGATTGCACTTTTCTTCAACATCATTTTTGCTTAGCTTTAGCTTAGCGTGTGCACTCATGGAGCATTTAGCGTGTACCGATAACACTCAAACAGCAGCGGAAGAATGGTGGGGCGCGTCCGAGTGGATGAAACGATGTATAACTTTCCACGAGGGATTAGTATTTTGTGCAATAATCTATTATATAAAAGAAAGTCGTGTTAGTTACTTCGCTTATAACTCAAGAACGGCTGAACCGATTTAGCTGAAAATTGCCAGGGAGGTAGTTTAGAGCCAGGAGAAGGACATAGGATACTTTTTATCCCGTTCGAAATTAAAAAAAAGTCTGCTTATTTATTGCCATTAAGGCGGAACAAAGTTCGCCGGGTCAGCTAGTGTAATGTAATAAATTACTATTATTCTTTAAAGAATGAAACATTCGAACCTAAATTAAATAAAATAAATCGTGGCTCGAATATAAAACTGAAGTGCAATGGTTTTTTAATATGCTACCTATTGCTAAGCGAGTGTAATAAATAAGAGCCCCATATTATACTAATGCCTGTATTCACAAACATTACTATGAGGTCTCGCAGTGCGCGTGGACGCACAGGGTGACACACGAACCAATCACAGAGCTCTATTCAACGCTGTGAGTTCGATTTGTTGCTTCACTTAGTAAGCATCGTTTGTGAATACGGGCGTAAGAAATACATTTTGTATGTGCCTATGAGAATTTTGCTTTTGTGAAGCGATTTTGTAGTTCTGCGATGAATTTTAGTTTTTGTTAGAATACTTGAAAAATTCGTTTTGTATAGAGGCTCGTTGTTCGACAAAATTGAAATAAAAATAATTTGTTTTATACATTCATAATATTTTTAATTGCCTTCTTTATTTGTCTTCCGTAGTAGGTTAATTTCAATTTGTAACAATATGATAAAATTTTCACGTATAATCTAGTCTGCTTCGGGGAAGGACTTTTTATTTAAGCACAAGTTTTTAGTTAATTTTTACAATGAGGGTTTACCGTATTTGTTAACCAGTTGTCGCCACATACGAGTGACATCAGTAGCGCCAAATGGTGAGCGAAATACGTAAAATAGTCCTTAAGTTTTTTAAAATAATAATAATAATGTACAGCGGTAGCGTTTGATTTACCCACAAAATGGCAAAATTGTGATTAATTTTGAACCATATCCAAAGGATTCTAAAGTTCAAAATGCGTCATTTTGTGAAAGACTAATCTGTTGGTGACTGTACCTTATTAAGTTTTGTAGTAACTTGTCAAATTGAGTATATTCATTTACTCAAAATATAATTTTATTTTAGTTTAATTTATGAAAATGTAAACGTTGCCTTAGTAAAATGTATAAACATGAAATTGTAAATAATTGTTAGTAGATAATAAATTATACAAAAAATATAGCTATTTGTTTATTTAAAATCGCCCTATAGTTAGATTGTCAGATGGTCATTTTAGCCACATAGCATAGCGCACAACCACGACTAAGCAGTGATGAAGCGGTGAAACATGACGCTGACGCTTTGCTATTTGTAGATGCCAAGGAGTTCCCTTTTAAAAATAATCCACCATTAATACAGAATAATAGTCGTCTGTGGCTAAATACTGAAAATAGGTAAAACTTGAATGACTTTAGTTGTTTCACTCGCTTTCCCGCCAAAAAGTTCGCCATTTCCCCTGCAACGAGCATTTACGAAGTCTGTTCATTTCTTATAATGAATGAGCTCGTTTGTAGCTCATGGATCCCATCACTATTCTACAAGCGACGCCCAGTAGTCTACGATGCGCAGTAGTCTGTGATTAATCAAAACATAACCTGAATTTGTTTAAAAAATAGATTTTAAATAAAATCTTGTATGAAATTACTATCAAAATCATGGAAGACATACTCGCCTGCCGTATATGTTTGTCAACGAACATAAAACTGTTCAATATGTTCAATTATCGCCTCCATATAGCGTATGAAACACTCACAGGAATCGGGGTTTGTTTTATTATTTATTTGTTAATTTATTTGATTACGCTGCTTTTAATAAATACAGATAAGTTTTAAATTAACGCAATTTGTAGTTATTTTATGTAAATGAGTATTTTAAATAACAAAAATATTGTTATTAAAAAGTTTATAAAATTCTTATTTTACTTTATTTTCTCACAAAACATCAAACTTTAAGTATTATTGTAGGTATTTATTGTCTACATTTAGAGATAATATTGTTTAGCAATAATTTTAAAGTTACAGTACACATTCAAGTGATTTTTATAAGAAACTATAAAAAAATATAGGTAAATCATTTTTTTATAAATAATCGTCACCTTTTTTTGTAAATATAGTGCTTTTTTGTGACCAAATACAGCAGAATAATGTTGTAATTATTTATTTCAGATGTCAACCACAGACGGATTACCCCAGTACGCTTGCAGCGTATGCAGTAAACTTTTAGACAAGAGTGTTACTTTCAAGCGAATGTGCGACAGCTCCCAGGATCTCCTTAACTTTGCTAAATGGCAGGAAACGGTGAGTAAAATATCTTTAGACTTTTCCACATAGCGCCATCTTACCCCAAAGTAAGCAATTAATATTATGCTTGTGTTATGGATGTTAGCTTGTATACTTTTTTTAGTATTACAAACACTTACGAACCCACTGTGGTTCAAAGTTTGATTCTTGGTTCGACTAAACACTAAATTTTTTATTGCATCATAAAGTAGGTACACAACTTAATAAATTAATTTTAATTTTATTAAAAAATCAACAATGGTACAAACTTTTATTTTATTTTATTGTTAGGAAAACAAATAGTATTTTATTATAACACACAGAATGAAAGTTTACATTTATTCTGCTGGACCGATAAAATGTAACCTTTGTAAAGTACTTATATTGCTTACTATCTTCCATTCCAGCTGTCCACATCCTATATTCAAAGCCTAAAATTCACATCACCTTTCTCATTTTCAATAAAAACCAACGATACAGTCAGTTGCGATACAAACGAAGAAACCGATCAGTTTATCAAAGAAGAAAGGGATTATGATGATGATGTTAATGACGATGATTATAAAGTAAAAAGCGAATCGAGCGATGACGACTTACCGATCAAAATATTACCGAAGAAAATCAAAATATCCGTTGAACGTCCTAGAAAAATTGTGAAAAAATCCAAACCAGCGTCTAAAGTGAAGAAAAAACCCGTTGAGTTAAAAAAGAAATTGACCAAAAAGGTAGAGAAAAAACCTAAAACAGAAAATAAAGTAGATTTAGATGATGATATACCAAAAGGAGAAGTAGATGTGATAATGTTAACGAAAGAGCAGCAAATAGAGGAAGTTCAAGCGAGAAAGAGTACGATGAACTATCTGAGTTCGTTCTACAAATGCGATCTTTGTTTCAAAGGATTTATATCAACTGAAACGTATAAAAATCACATGGAACGACATGATCCGGTAAGTGGTAAATTGACTTTATCCAAGGAAATAATGAGCATAACTAATTTAACATTACATCAAAAACATCAACTTTGCAAGCAGGAAATATCTACTTGCTAAGTTGATATGTTTTTGACGTTTTTATTGTTTGTCTTCAACATAGAAACATGCTATGAACTTTTTAAAACCTGTTTATTAAAAAGACAGATTTTTTAAATTTAAATTAAATGTAACACAATGACATATTAAAAAAAAAAAAGATTCCCAATGGCCACTTCTTTCATGTTTAAATCCTACCAACATTTTTGGCATTAAAAAAATATAGTTATGTGCTTGAACTTGTCATAAAATCATGTTCTTCGTGGATGGAACGATCTACATTTATTGTTCTTTTTAAAAATAACTTTTACTATATACATATATTAATTGCACACCCTGTATACAACTTGCAGAGCAGCGGTTTATACGAGTGTGACATCTGCCACATACGATTCGAAGACATGCGTGCGTTACGCGGCCATCTTGCCAAATTACATGAGAGGAACTACGTCTGCAAGCTTTGCAAACATATCTCCAAGTCTAAGTGAGTCATATTAGTTTTCGATATTTTAATCATTCGATATTTTGATCGTTCGATCATTTGTAAATTCGAAATTTTGAACGTTCGATATTTTAATCATTCGATATTCTGATCGTTCGATGAAACGTGTTCGATATTTTGATTTTCGATCATTTGTCATTCGATGTGGCGTAGGTAACCCCAATAAATGGGCCAATGCTGAGAAGAAGCAGCGCAAGAAACTCAGTCACTATTGTCAGTCTCTTTTTCTCTAATGAATAATTATAATTATTTTCCTTTATAGACATGGAGCTAAGTTGCACTCGAAATGGCACAGCGGCCATACTTTTGTTTGCAAGTTCTGCGGTATGTCGTTCACGTAAGTATTTATTTATGCACTAACATTATAAAAAAAGTGATTAATCATTTATGCAACACTATTTTTTTTATTAGTAGAAACAATTTTTTTTGCAAAATCATTTTTTTATTACTACAAATACGAGTTTAAAAAATTACCACTGAGCTACCGTGCGTGACATTGAGCAAACCTATCAACAGGTTTGCTCAGTGTCACGCACAGGTTTGCTCAATGTCACACACGGTAGCTTAATGGTCAGAACAGTCGAGCAACTCCATAGCTCAGTGGTTAAGGCAAGCGAAATATAGTGGCATCAATACCCATCTGATACAATAGCTGTTTTTCAAGTTTTTGTGAATTAGTGCTGTTTAAAAGCTTACAGAAAAGAAATATTTTTGACAACTGATGTATTTGATTTGGTCGCGTCTGGGTGTGCTGGGATTCCAGTCTTTGCTACTGAAAACTATTCGTCACTTAAAGGCAGAAAAATGGTTTCTGGAAATATTTTTAATATAGCCCCCAAAGTTTTCAGATTTTGCGTTCAAAACCGCAGTTATTGGATTCACGAGTTTATTTTATTTGACTAACAAGAAACCCGTCGTTGAAAGAGTTCGTAGAATTAATATGTCCTGTGGGTTTGATCCGATTGGGTCGACACAGATTCAATACGCACAAGAAAATCCACTTTAAAATTCCATTACAAGCTGACGGCAAAGTGCGTACCGATAGTTTTTGATCGAATTGAACATTCCATTATAATACCATTTTTTCATGACAACTATTCTAAAATCAGCAATTGAAAAAATATATTAGTTTTGAATCTTAATCCGTTTGCACAATGTATAAATACATTTTTAATGTTCCAGCAAGAAGACTAGTCACCTATCGCACGTGCGTATCCACCACCCTTCGGAACACGTTAACTGTGACATATGCGGCGAGGCGTTCATAGGCGAGCACGGGCTGAGGATGCACAAGCAGAAGGCACATAGAGATGTTAAGGTAAGTTATTCATTTATTAATTAATTTAAAATTTAAAGAATCAAGGATAATTTATTTGCATTGATTAGGATATTTTCAGGATCTTATCGCACCCTTAGAATTACAATGACATAAGTGCAAATACTATAAACTCGAGAAAAATGCATTTGAAACTTTATTTTTACTCTTTTCTCAATAACTTTTTTTAACGATGAATTTACAGATAGTTAATATTATATAAATACCTGGTTGTATACTTCAATATTAGTGAAGCATAATTCTGTTTTAAAATAATTAATAATAAGAGTAATAGGAAATATACAAGGTTTTTTATTTCTCACATTTCAGTAGCCTTGGCATTTCTCTTGACGTCATTGGTCATGTTAGAACGACACGAGTCCCATACAAGTTACTATGGGCGGGTGACATTTGACGTCACGCTCAGCTATTTCCATACAAAGTTTAAACACTTGTAACTTTTTTGTTACCGCGAAAGCAAAAATAAAAAACTTTTTTGTTTCCAGTCCGATTTCAATACTAGTTTTTCAGTAATTCTATGTTTTAACTAAAATGTTGATTTATACATACATAATATGATTTAACTAAAATGTTTATTAATACCAAAATCCTGATAAAAAGTTGCAATATTGATTTCAGGACCTAGAGCCGGAATTGGAGACGAAATGTGCTAACTGTAAGGTGCGGTTCCAAAATATAGACGCTTTCAAAAGGCACTCGAGTAGCGCTGTGGATGGACAGTGTGACCCTAGCCTTAGGTGAGTTATTTGACATCATCATCATCATTTCAGCCACAGGACGTCCACTGCTGAACATAGGCCTCCCCCAATGACTTCCACATCGCACGGTTGGTAGCGGCCTGCATCCAGCGCCTTCCTGCTACCTTTATCAGGTCGTCGGTCCACCTTGTGAGACGTCACACGCTGCGTTTTCCGGTACGCGGCCTCCACTCCAGAACCTTGCTGCCCCATCGGCCGTCAGTTCTGCGTACTATGTGCCCTGCCCATTGCCACTTCGGCTTGCTAATCCGTGGGGCTATGTCAGCGACTATTTGACAGGTTTACTGCATCACATATAAAGGATATTGAGCTTATTGTCCTTATAATAAGGTTTACAATCCATTGAAAAATATTTTGCTTTATTGAGGGGTATGGAAGATTGAAATTAAGTTAGCTCAAAATATACTTTTCTACATGTTTATTTGTTGAAGAAATCACTGCCTAGCTAAATTGTGCTGTTTAGAACTTTAATTTCATTTATTTGCTCGTTTTGTGTGGTGTCCAATAAAAATAACGATGAATTAAAAATGACATAAAAGCCTATACAGGGTGGAAACGATAAGTGATCTCACTCGATTATTTCTAAACTATACAAGATATCTAAAAACTGGTTACTGATCCTGAAAATGCTTCATGAGCTCTATCAAACGGTATTAATAATAGGTTACAGAATAAACTGGATTTATCCAAAAATTATATGTTTCCTTCTTCCATACATTTACTACTACCACAGTCATGATGACACTCGTCTCTTGACAATATTATAGCAAGTAAAGCCTAAAACCAATGTTTTCCATGAATAATTTAAAATAAGAATACAATTTTCGCGTTTATTTTAAGAGTTTATTATTAAATAAAAAAAAATACATTTCTAATATTGTGTGTCTGGCATACATTTAGTATGGAAGCTGGAAACATTGAATTTTCAGATAGATCCAGTTTATTCTGTAACCTATTATTGGTACCGTTTGAAAGAGCTCATGAACCAGTTTTTCAATATCTTGTTGTGTAGTTTAGAAATAATCGAGTGAGATCACTTAACGTTTCTACCCTGTATTTTCGCAGTCCGATTTTTCAAGTTGTTTATTTAAATTTTAGTTTGAGAAGCGACTCTAACCGCTAAGAAATAAAGCCTATATTTTCACAGACCGTGTGCTAAATGCGGGGAAGGATGCATTTCAGAGTTTGAACTCAAAGAACACTTGAAGCAGCACTCGAAAGAAAAAATCAAGAAGAAAAACAGAAGGATGAAGTGTGAAGAGGTAAAACTAATTTATTTCTGTAAATACGCTTTAAAAAGCACTTTTTCACGTCCCAGTATTAACCCTACCACTGCTTCAGGACAATAAATGGGCCAGTGCTGAGAAGAAGCAGCGCAAGAAACTCAGTCACTATTGTAGTGGTGAGGTTTATATTTACAACCTAGGCCCCGATTGCGCTAAAAAAATTTAACTGCAACGCGACTGGACTGCGAATGAACATCAACTATTTTGACTAATCCGTATCCGGTGTCGTTTTGACAGTTACAGACATGTAAAGTGCCCCTTAAGGGCTACCTTTTTTATTTACTATATTTTGACGTTCATAGGTGCCGCTTGTGGTCTAAATTGAATAAAATATTTTTGACTAGCGGCCGCCCGCGACTTCGTACGCGTGGATCCCGTTTTACCCCCTTCATCTATCTAACGCGGTTTAGATTTTTTCATAGAAATGTTCTTTCCCGCTAACTCCCGTTCCCGTGGGAATTTTGCAATATCCTGTTGTAACTAAGCTTTAAGTTTACTAATGCAGGTAGCATGCCAAATTTCAAGCGTCTAACTTAAGCGGTTTAGATTTTTCATACAAAAGAATTTTCCCGCTATTTCCCGTTCCCGTGGGAATTTCGGGAATTTCTTTCTTAGTGCACCTCTAAGGTACCTAAGCTACGTCCCTTCCAAATTTCAAGTGCCTACGTTTAGCTGTTTAGGCTGTGCGTTGATATGTCAGTCAGTCAGTCAGTTTCTCCTTTTATATATTTAGATTATTCTATTGTATCTTACAGTGCAACGTAACATTCAGTCTGGCGCGCTCGTACACTCTCCATTACCAGCGAGTGCACCTCCGCTTGAAGGACGCGTTCATTCCTGGACGAGCGCCGGTTGTGTGCGAGATTTGTGGCAAGAAGTGTACGGTGAGTGTAATAATTGGGGGGGTTTGGCAGAAAATAGCGCTAAAGTCCGGTCGCCGAGCACATAGAATTTCGTCCAATGACCCCAAGCTACCCATCCTTATCGCTCGCGCGTAATTATGTTGCTGTCGCGCTCGCACACTCACTGCGGGCGCCCGTCGCACAGTCGCGACAGCAATATAATTACGCGCGAGCGATAAGGATGGGTAGCTTGGGGTCATTGGACGAAATTATACATTGTTTAGCCGTTAAACAATGAAAAATACCACGAAAAAGGGTCAACCACTATTGATATATTTTTAACGTTTTTCATCAGTTGTCACAACGGTTGCTCAGCAAGATCGTTGGCTCAATTTGTAATAATTTTTTTCAAGTTTTAATAAAACCAGTTTGAGATAACTATTCTATTCTAAAAAGTATTAAGTCAAGCTAGCACCCATAACACAAGCATATTAGTTGCTTACTTTGGGGCTAGCTGGCGCTTTGTGAAATTGTCCAAGAATATTTATTAACTAGCGGCCGCCCGCGACTTCGTACGCGTGGATCCCGTTTTACCCCCTTAGGGGCGGAGTTTCGTAAAATCCTTTCTTAGCGGATGCCTACGTCATAACATCTACCTGCATGCCAAATTTCAGCCCGATCCGTCCAGTGGTTTGGGCTGTGCGTTGATTGATCGCTATGTCAGTCAGTCAGTCATTCAATAAGTCACCTTTGAGATATACAGGGTGGAATTTTCTAATGCCACCTGGAGGGAAAGTTCTCTTAATATTGTAGATAGAAAAAAAGAAAACATTCCTTTATTTTTGAAAGGAAATAGAACTGCAATCAAAGATTTTCAAAAATTTGCTAGCAACACCGGGAATCGAATCAACTAAAAACTGTTAAAAATTATACCCTGTATTTTTATTACATCGATCGTTAGGGTTAAGTATAAAGATGAAATCTCTCTAACAAACTTGATAAATCAAATGAAAGGAAAACCATGAAATCTTAAATTATTTTAATTATGTAGGTACAGAAAATTTTATGGTATGGTAGTGAGTTTTCCAAAAATTTTCGAAAATCTTTGCATGCAGTTCTTTTTCTTTTCAAAAATAAAGGAATGTTTTCTTTCAGTATTTTTTTCTATGTACAGTATTAAGAGTACTTTCCCTCCAGGTGGCATTACAAAATTCCACCCTGTATATTTAGATATTCTAAAGCCTGGTCCGTGAGCACATAGAATCCCGTCCAATAACCCCAAGCTACCCATCCTTATCGCTCGCGCGTAATTATATTGCTGTCGCGACTGTGCGACGGGCGCCCGCAGTGAGTGTGCGAGCGCGACAGCAACATAATTACGCGCGAGCGATAAGGATGGGTAGCTTGGGGTCATTGGACAAAATTCTACGTGCTCACGGACCAGGCTTTAAATGAGGTTTATTGTATATTTTCAGACGGCCACATCGCTTCGTTTCCACCAGCGAACTCACACGGGGGAGCGGCCTTACCAATGCACGGAGTGTCCCAAGAGATTCAGTGTAGCTCAGCGGTTACAGGTATGAACAAAAAAATAATATGAATATATCTGGTAGGGCAAAAAAAGAATGAGACATGTATAGGCTCCTTAAGAGCATTTGACGATTTGCAAGAACTAATTTAATTAGTCTAAACAAATAAAGATAATTTTGATTTGATTTGATTTGAACTTATTAGGAACTAACTTTATTTATTACTAGCTTTCCGCCCTCGGCTTCGCCCGCGTGGAATTTTGTCTGTCACAGAAAAACTTTATCGCGCGCGTCCCTGTTTCAAAAACCGGGATGAAAACTATCCTATGTCCTTTCCCGGGACTCAAACTATCTCTATGCCAAATTTCCTCAAAATCGGTTCAGTGGTTTAGGCGTGAAAGAAAGACAAACAGACAGACAGAGTTACTTTCGCATTTAAAATATTAGTATAGATTTTATTTTGGTTCATTTCTTTTATTTTTAGTTTTGTGTGGTGTACAATCAAACTATAAATATTAATCTCTCTAGCTTTTATCCGCGTGAATATTATACCCGTATTCAGAAACATTACTATGAGGTCTCGCAGTGCGCGTGGATGCACAGGGTGACACACGAACCAATCACAGAGCTCTATTCAACGCTGTGCGTTCGATTTGCTGCTTCACTTAAGCAAGCATCGTTTGTGAATACGGGCGTTAGTCTGTAACAGATTTGATCACGCGCGTTCTTTTAAAAATTCTCCTTGACATAATTATACGAATCCTTCTTTATTAATTTTGAGCCGTGTTGATGAGTCAGCAATGATTACTTTTTATTCGATTTATCACCTATTTCTTACATGTTATAATTATTCACAGATTCACCAACGCACACATAGCGGGGAAAGACCGTACGCCTGCCCGCATTGCCCCAAAGCGTTTAAAGGGAAACCTAACCTCAATAGACACGTACGAGTAAGTATACATTTATTTTACAAGCTTTTATTAAACTTGCCAAGTATTTATGTTTTGGATTGGTTTAAATTGCTGAATTTCACAATAAAGTATAGTTATATCATGGATAATTTAATTATTTATCTACTTGCTGCTGCAAAAGTTGTGCCTTAATATTGGTAAATCGTGTCCACAGTGTATTTGCCACCACCAATCAATGAGGGTTTTCGCGAATGAAAAATCCGCCAGATGGCAATACGTAGACGCGAGGTCCAAATGCTGCATGATTGGTTATTTTTGACATGACATTGACAGATATGTCAAAATCCACCAATCAGCATGCATTGCAATGCAGCAGTCAGACCCCACATCCACGTCCCGCCATCTAGCGGATCTTTCATTCGCGAAAACCCTCATTGACGTACTTTTTAAAACTGTCAAAACGAAACTGTCAACATATATTTTGTATGGCAATATTAGTCAGTGACGTCACTATTTTGTCAACTCAATTAAACTACTTTTTTTCAATTGATTCCACCAAAAATCTTAATTTACAGGTATTTTAAGACCAGAATGAAGTGCCTTTTTAAAAAAGTTGTGCTTAAGAATTATTGGGGAGTGGTGGCAAATACCCAATTATCTAAATATTCAAACCTTTATTTTATCGTCACATTTCTCCACAGGTGCACACGGGGGCGAAGCCCTATTCCTGCTCGCACTGCGGAAAATCGTTCTCCCAGTCCAACTCCATGAAAGTGCACATTCGTACTGTACATTTGAAGCTGCCGGCGAGATCTGGGCTGGATTCCCATGAGCTACTCTGAAAGAGGGATATTGACTATTCCCACCTCTCGTTCCCACCGCTGCAACTCCTGTGTAGCCAGGATCTATAGCTTGACCGCCATAACCCGACCAGGGACGGTCAAGTTTGTTCTGTAAAGTTAACTATCATTGGACTCGCAACGAAATTAATCAGAAGAACATAGGAGTTAAGAATCGACTTCCCAATGGAAAGCAGAGCAAAGATGTACTAGTAGAGACTGCTTGGCATTAAGTCCGCCATTACGTCTATCTTCTTCGCGCATGTGCAATAAAGTACGTTGACTGATAATGTCACACAAAGTAGCTATTAGTTGCTGAAAATGTCACACACATACCTATTAGTTGCTGAAAGTGTCACAGTGGCCTTATGTGACTGAGTACTCAGTAAGTTGACCTATGTCCTGTGAACATTTTGAGACAGTGCTATGGAGTAAAATTAGGTATTTAAACTATGATCTCTAGTTAAAATTAAGTTAAATATGTAAATGCATTTATAAGTATTTCCTACGAATGCCATGCAATGACCATAAAACAATGGTGATGTTCTAATATAATTTTATTTCTCCAGCATTTGTATAGAAATTGTGTTTATAATTTATTAAATTGTGTAAGTGATAAATATAATTAATTTGCGAATTCAGTATTTCATTTAATTTATAGTTAAACTAAAAGTCTAAAACCTTAAACAAACATTATAGGACCTTGGCTATAAAAAAGACTGCAGAGATCAAAAGACGTTTGACTTTTCCTATGTATTACTTTTCTCTATGTTTGACTTCTCCCATTTTACATTACTCAATGCTAGTTTTGTTGTGATGCACTGCAGGTTTATAATCGAATTCCGAGAAATGGTTGAGCTATCGATTGAGCTCAGTGCATAAACAAATAAAACATGCTTCGTAAATGTGTAAAGTTTGACAGCTGTCAAATTGTCAAAATAAATATTGACGAAAACATAACCTCAAAATCAAATGTTTTGTATTTATTTTCTTTAAAAATTAAAACGTTGCATTACTACATTATGGCAGAAACTTTAAAATTAAATATCCAATTCGGCGGCGGAGCAGAGCTGCTTTTTGATAAGATAAAGAAACGTGAAGTCGAATTGCCTGCTCTAAAAAAGTACTTTCCCGAAATTTCAAAAGAAAACTGGACCATTAAGGAGCTTTTACAGTGGATAAAGAATAACTTACTAAAGGAGAGACCGGAATTGTTCCTTCAGGTTGGTTCTTCAAGAGGTTTATAAAATAAATGAATAAAACAATTACCCCATAAATCTAGTAAGACCCATCGGTGGAAATGTATTTAATTACATTATTATTGTTCTATAAAGATAGTAAGACCGACTCATATTGCTCTGTATTAAGTTTCCACACCTGCTTAAGCAAGGTCTAATAGCCACTTTGATCACCTGGCTTTGATCACTCAGGTGATCAAAGTGGACTTCCAGCGACAATTTAGTGTCCTTTGATCACCCACAGATACGATGCCTTGTGTGATCAAAGTGGACTCCAGTTAAATTATTATTTTAGTGTCCTTTGATCACCTGCAAACAAATCACAACTCCTCTGAATAGTCACATGTCCAATTTAATTGTTGTATTTACATATTTTGTTTTGTAGCATTTTGATATTTTCTAAAAACCAAACAAATTGGACATGTATGTGACTAATCAGAGGTATGATTTATTTATAAGTGATCAAAGGACACTAAAATAATAATTTAACTGGAGTCCACTTTGATCACCCAGGGCATCGTATCTGTGGGTGATCAAAGGACACTAAATGGTCGCTGGAAGTCCACTTTGATCACCTGGGTCATCAAAGCCAGATGATCAAAGTGGAATAGACCTTAAGCAAATAAATATCTTTCCTGTAACTTTTGTAGATTTGTTTTACAATTTAGTTAAAATACTTTTCAGGGTGACTCCGTCAGGCCAGGTATATTGGTGCTCATAAATGATGCAGATTGGGAACTCTATGGTGAATTGGATTACGAACTACAAGCAAACGATACAATAATGTTCATATCTACGTTGCATGGGGGATAAGTTTAAGTGTATTAATTATTTTAAGTTTAATTAAATTTATTTTATATTGTTAAGAAGCCTTTACCTTATACCTAAATAAGTATTGAATTTCCAGAAAGATTATGTAGCATTTCACAGCAGTTGCATGTTGCAAAAACAGGAAATATTCAACTATACTCAACATCAAATAAACCGCACCTTCCGCGACGCGAACTTTAAAGATTTTCTTCTGACACAATCCTGGTGCCCCAACAATATTGGTGTTATTTGAAAGCCCGATAATATCCTTAGAGAAAAACACATTTAATTTCTTAATAAATGATTAACATATACCATAAATGTGACTTGAAAAAAGACCTCTCTTTGGGCACACCTCTGGGATTAACTAGACCAATTTTTATGGTTATAAAACCAATTAATGATCTCACGTGTCGTCTTGAACAGATGGATAGCGATTAATCCCAACTTAACAGTACCTATTTTTTGAAGAAGTGGCTCTGGATCCTGCTAAAGACACATTTTCGGTGTAAAAACATTTCCTTTAATGAAATGAATATTAGAACTGGGCTTTTAAATGGTGCCAATATTGGTGGGAAGTGGGGATGCATACGTTTGAAAGTGCTTGTCGCGGGAGGTGCGATTTATTTGATGTCGAGTGTATTTTCCCGCGTACCCACGAAGTCGCGGGCACAGCTAGTTACATATGTATATCTGTAGGTAAGTAATAATAAAATAATAATAAATAATAAAAGTTTATTTAACAACTTTAACATTTTTTTACATTGCTTACATTGCATTGTTGTACATACATTTCCTTAAAGACCCGTTTAATGCTAAGTAAGTGGAAGTTAGCTGACTCATCTATTTCTTTCAACTAAGAAATTGACACATTTTTACAAAAATAAAATAAAGCTTTTTTTGTTGCAAGAAGACACGCGAACACGATTGTTTAGAAGAGCTCTTTGAAAGACTTTCTGTAACTACTACATTATTTAAAAAAAACTTCTAACCGCGTTAAAACCAATTCTAACCACGCCATTGCGTCATACGCACACGTTTTTTATAGCGCACAATTTCTTATAAATCACTGATCCGATAACATTGTCTGCTGATCTGGTTACGCAATACAAGCAGTGAACCCGGCGTCGCCCGTAATTGGCTTAAACCAGTGACGTTGATGTGATTGTTGAAAGGGTCGCAGGGACGCATTCAGGGTACCGTATTGGCGGGTTACTTTAGCAGGACAACTTTGTCTCAACAAAAAAGTAATTAAAATTTTTTAGCGATAGAGTCGCTTCTCAAACTGAATTTTAACTAAACGACTTGAAAAATCGAACTGCCTAAGGCAGGCATTGAACCCACGACCTTTCGCTTGCCGGGCGACTAAAAGTAGGCACTGAAATTGAGCAAGTTTCGTATCTAGCAACTTACTAAAAACAAATAGGCGTCAGAATACTGTCGATTTAAATCTTTTTTGTTTTGAGACAAAGTACGATACGACAAAGACGCAAATATGGTACGATTTTCACTCGAGAATGTAAGTTGTTATGGAGGAGCTATAGTTTTATTTACTGGTTTTCATAAATCGGTTTATTCCACTATTCCCCATTGACAATCCCCGTCAACGGGGATTAGTGAACTTTTTGTTCACTATTCCCCGTTAACGCCAATTGGAGCTTATAATGTTAAAAATAAAATCCTAATATAACGGGGAATAGTGAACAAAAAGTTCACTAATCCCCGTTGACGGGGATTGTCAACGGACAATAGTGGAATAATCCCTAAATCCAGGTTCTTGAATTCATACTCAGGGCTTTCAAGACACGAGTGGATAGTCAATCAAAAATCACACTTTGTTATCCTAAAGAAAAATTAAGTACAATTTCACGTTTAAAAAATCTTTGGTGGTGTAACTCCGCATATTGCCTACTATTTTTAGTGCAATTATGTTTAAAAAAACAAACACCAGCAAAAGAACAACCATCTGAAAGGGTAAAATGTGGGCCAAAAGTATTGGGAAATTGTTTTAAATAGCCCGCCCTAAGTGCGGGCCTGGGCAGCCACATCAAAATAAAAAGGGCTGGACCCTCGCGGTGCGTAGGGCGGGCAGGCGAGCACATAAGCTTCACACTAAAATGAATAAAAACATAACCCTCCTTCTGGCGCAGTCGGGTAAAAAATCGTAAAAACTGTCATTTTATTTTTGCAAATAGGCTTTTAAAAAAACACGTGTACACGTCCCAATAATATCTTTTGGGTTTCGATTTTCCTTTTCATATTGGAAAAGCATTTCTTACAGTATGTTTGTCCGAATAACTTCAGTGATTTAAATACTTATTTAATTACGAGTAGGTAAGCATTAGGGACTTACGGCATCGAATGCATTTTTTTTTATCTCTGTCGACTGCTGGATTATTGTGGAGGTTACTCACAAGAATATAGTTATAATTGAGTATGTACTTCAATTTCTGGGGGGTAACGCGAATAATGGGTAACGGGTATGGGTAATAATAAGTAAGTATAGCTTTTGACTATGGCATCGCCCGCGTGAAGTTCGATCTGACACAGAAAAACTATAGTAAAAGTGCCCTGAAAAAGGCCTACATCATACATACTGATAAAGAATCCTATGTTTTCCCTAGGGTTTAAAACTATCTATACTAACATTCATCAAAATCCGTTCAGTAGTTTTTGCGCGAGAGAGTAACAAAAAGCCAGCTTGAAACGACTTTCAAACAACAAAAAATAGGGCTAAACCTGTAAAAAATCAATTTTTATGTTTTAACAACTTGAAACATATTTTTATCTTTCTACACACGACTGTACATCGTCTGGTACAGTCGGCCGCGGGTTTGCGCTTTAATCTCTCGCTTATGTGATTATGGCGCTCATGATTTTATTACAAGCAAATTGTGAACACAACACGCCCTTAGATCTGGGCAGATCCCATAATTCATAGCAACTGGCTAGCTGAAAACATTATTAGTACCTAAATCTTAAAAACTGGGCGGGGCATATAGCTCGTAGAGCTGATGGCCGCTGGGGCAGGGAAGTTCTTAAGTGGCGACCACGAGCCGGAAGACGTATCCTGGGCTGGCCTCCCACTAGGTGGACCGACGATCTGATGAAGGTCGCGGGAGGTGCCTGGATGCGGGCGGCGCAGGACCGTCTTTGTGGAAATCCTTGGGGGAGGCCTTTGTCCAGCAGTGGATGTCATTCGGTGGAAACGAACGAACCAAATCTTATATTGTAGTCATCATCATCAGATCATTTAGTCTCCACTGCAGGAGCAAAACCCTCTCCAATTTGCCAGAGGCTTGGGATTTGACTTCATAAGCTGACCTAACAGGTTAAAGATCTTTACGATTCAAAATTATGGCTTCATAAATGACGCTGAACCCATCTGCTTACTATAGTCGCTTTGTGCTAAGTACTCATCCAAAAACCGGGATTAAACTACCCTAAGTTTATCGCTA